GTGTAATGTACAGCTAGCCCTGAATTTGAAACTACCGATTGTGGTTCCCCTTAATGGTATTATCCTTTTTTCAAAAAGTTATTTTTCTACTGCATATTCCTTTTTCTTCTGTCAACACTCTAGCTTCATATGGACATTTTAACTCTATCATAGAGTTTTTTGTTTTAAATTCCATCTGGACTGGCAGCAAAATAATCAAATTCGGAATCAATAAAAGTCCACATATAAAAACTTTTTCTTGCAAATAAATTTCCAAATCCTATTTTGCTCTGGATTTATTGTTCATGTCATATTGAAAGGCTTTAGCAAAAAATAAAAGATTTTATGAGATTGTTTAAAAATTTTCAAGGAGTGACTCGTTTTCGTCTTCCATTTTGCTACAATCCACAATCAGCTTGATCTCTTGTCAATTTCATTTTTTTCTCATCTATAGACATTATAAAACTTTTTAGAAAATCTTCTTTTGCAACGCGCATCAAAAAGTGTGAGAGATCAAAGCCACGCTCGAAAGCAAAAAAAAATTATTTACCAAGTTCGAAAAAATATACATTACTTTAACAGCTTAAAGAGTTGTTAATATGCTGGAATTCATTATTCTTAACTTGAAGATGTATTCATTAAAAAAAAAACTCCCGTGCAATATAAAAGTTAATTTATAATTCAAATCTCAATGTATACCTTTTAATTTCGAATATATTTTTTTAATAAACAAATGATAAAATTAATTTAAAATAATTGAGCGAAATTACTGTATGTAAAAATAACAAAGTGTACAGACATAAAAGAAAATAAATTCAAATCACTTGCGTACGTTTATCACTTGTAAACAGTAGAAAAGAATATACATTTTGTTGGTGTCGCCCTCTAGTCGAAAAAGCTTTTAACGTATTTTTTTAATTTTTATTGAGAAAAATAAATGTTCCTGTAAAAATTAAAAACGTATATTGCTCCCTTCTTTCGATAGAAAGATATCTTCTTACATTTTCTCAAAATAAACCGATTCAAATGTTCAAAAAGTGACTCCTTTACCTGTACTTACATAATTTTTCAAAAAATAAAAAATAATCCGTAAAATTGGTGTACTATGAAACCCATTGCATATTATATAAATAGGTCTATATTAGTATTACAGAAATGATTTACGTAAAACAATAAAGTGTACCTACAAATACGTAAAATTTAATTATACCTCGTAAAACATCAGTAAAATATTTTGTAAATTGTTTTCATTCACAAATATATTAATTTCTTAAAAATCTAACAGAGGCGCCACTTGCCAGACGAAAATTCTTGAAATGTAAGGGTTTCGTAGTACCCCACTTTTAAAGTTTATTTTTGAGTATTTTTAAAAGAAAAAAATATGTACGTATAGATAAAGGTTAAATCTATGCTTCTCTGAAACCACTTTTTCAAAATTCAATTTAATTTTTTCTAAAAAAAATTGAGAAAATGGATCAAAAAAGTCGAGTTTTGTGTTTTTTTTTAGAAAAAAACAGATTGAAATTTTGAAAAAGTGTTTCCAGAGGAGCACAGATTTAACCTTTACCTACACGCACATATTTTTTTCTTTCAAAATATGTCAAAAATTAACTTTAAAAGTGGGGTACTACGAAACCCTTGCATGCTCTGCTCTAAAGCCAAGTAAATACTCCTCTTAAGTCAGACCAGAGTCGACTACACAAAGCCTAAGCTTATTTTGAATATGTCATACTATGAAAGCATGTATCCCGCCTAATATGACAATATTACGTCAAATAGTTTTAAAGTACTGGTCAAAAATAATTTTTAAATAAAACACTGTGTAACTCAAACAGGAGATATTTTTGTTTATACGGATTAAAGTTTCATTTGCGTAATAAATGAAATCCAATGTCCCAAAACACCGACATAATTATTAATACATATTTAAATCAAAATAATTGTACAGGTTCATGTTTAGCTTAAAATATCACGAAAAATAATAACTTTATCGCTATGAAGAAAGGGTACAATATTTACGTAGGAAGTACTGGAGAATAAAAAAATTGTGATAAAATTGCAAATGCGCCAGTTGCGTAGAATTTGGGAAGGATTAACCAGTCACTTGCCCCTGTCGTACGCCTTTGATGGTAGCCAGAAAAGTTTAACATAATTTAGTAGGGTGTATAGTATCTACACTTCCCGCCAAATATGACAATAATACGTCAAATAGTTTTAAGGTACTGGACAGAAATAATTTTTTAAATTTTTAAACAAAACACCCTGTAACTCAGAATGGTGACACATTTTATATAGGTGATTTGGGTTAAATCTTCATAATTTGAGCTCAGGATTTTATAGTTGAAATATTTATAATTAGTAATGAATCACCCTGTATATCTATTTCAAAAACATCTCTTTTACTGTTTCCTAAACTATCATTATTTTAATTTTTAAAAATCTTTTATTTGGCCAATTACTTTATTAAAATAATTAAAAGTCCATTAAAACTTTTTAAATTCTTAAAAATAAACCACTCTATTTGAATGGAAAACATATAATTTACAAGTTAAATATAATAGTTATTTATGCAACAAGTGTGTAAAGTTACCCTTTTTTGACGAATGTGAATTTACACACGAGTGGCATACAATATTTTTTCTACTACCGTACACATAATCCACAAATATTAGAAATATAAAAGTTACTTTTTTTCACTAGTGAAAAAAAGTACTTTACTTTACGCACTAGTGAAAAAAAAGTAAAATGTGCCAAAAATTGTACACAGCAACAAAAATAAATTTATTGAAACTTTACAAATTTATAATTCTTACAGAACAAAATGACTAACAAATGAAGAAATATTTAAAAAAATAGGTTTTTAACTCTTATGAATATTAATATTGAATGTGCAATTATTGCAATTACCAAAACTTAAGGTTTTGGCATTTTCCAGCACAGAGTTTGAAAAATGTTGTGATATTACTTCTGTAACCCTATTTTGAGCTTCGAGTGGTATGGATTTGGTCTTTTCAAGTAAAGAGGTTGAAATATTTTGTGTAACTCTAGTTTCACGGTCGAGTGGTTTCACTAATTCTTCATTAGAGTTGTCAACGGTAAAATTGTAGCTTTGTTTGGAAGTGGATGGCATACTGTCATACATCAAAATTTTATTAGAAATTTTGTTTTTTTGTGTTATTGTGCTGTCTACGTAGCCTTCTGCAACAGCAGATGATTTCCATCCTCCATGTTTTTTGACCGTTAGAAGGTCTCCTCCAGAATTTGCCAGCATAGTGGCTGCAGACCTCCTAAAGCAGTGTCCTGTAAAAGCCGTTGGATTGGGCAAGTTTAGATACGTTGCTATAACACTTGGTATTTTACCAAAAGTATTTATCCCTACAGGCTGTTTAGAATATTTTCCATTTGCGAATTTAAAAAAAAATCTGTTACAATTTATATTTGATGGTCTTAATGAGGTATATTTTTTTATGAAAGATAAATAATCAACTGCAGAATTATTTGGATTTAAAATCGTAAAAATGCGTTCTATTCCATTTTTGGTTTCTGATACTTTGACAATATACACTGTTTGTTTATCTTCCACATCGTTAATTGTCATTTTACATAATTCTTCCCGGCGACAAGCTCCCGCAATTCCAATTATAAAAGCTACCTAAAAAATAACATATTGTAATGTTACAAATAATTTATTAAACATTAGGAAATATCTTGACGTTGCGCATGTAAAACTCCAAATAAATGCTATTTTAAAAAAATATAAAAGTTTTAGGTATAATGTGCTGCCTAACAACCCCGGTGGCCTGTTAGGACAGCAACTGATTTTTTTAGGCAACACACCATACGAACACACATCTCGTTGCAAAACTTTACAGAATATTTTAATTTTATACTAAGCATTCAAGCATTTACTGAGGCATTTACTTACTTTGATCATTAAAAACTTGGAATCTGGAGCTTTCAACAGAAAATTAATTAGATCTCGTTCAAAAATTTTGGATTTTGTTGGTTTATAACCTTTATTTTTTTGTTTGAGAAACGCTATTAACTTGTTGAATTTCGAAATATCAACGTTGTTTTTATATTTTAAGGTGCTTTTAAGCATAGAATAAATCGACCATAGGGTAGAAGCTTTGCAATTCTTCAATTAATCAGAGAAATATGCTAAAATAACGTTTTCCGAATATTTTGTCACCTTATTCTTCCTACACCATTCTATAAATGCATTGTATTTTTGCTGATAAATATATGCAGATTTTTCTGGCAATAAATTTTCAGTGGCCTTTTGTGCACTGCATAAGATATCTGGGGGAGTATTATCAAATTCGCTATCGCTAGATAAATTTGAATTCATATCGATTATGACAGATATAATAAACTGCAAATAAAATTTGAATTTAAGTACACAAACATTAAAAAGTAAAACTTTTTACCTTCTCAAACTTGACTGAGTTTAAAAAAATGCTAAATTGGCTTTAGAATCTAATCTTGAACTTAAGTATACTTTTGTCGTGTTCTGTTATAAGGTAGGTACTAATTAAAAGTTTATAGATTGACAGTTCTTCTAATCCACACAGCCACGGCCAACTTACTTTCACCAAAATCGACATCCACTGTATGTTTACTTTTAATTAAATCGATGACATTTAGAGAAAATTATAATTAAAATAAACTGTTGATAATTTGTTGGACACTAAATAGATATAAGCAAAAATAATTTATTTATTTGTCTTAGAAGGAGATAGCAAAAAAATGTTAATATAAAATAAAACGTTATATTTTGTTGTTATGTACAAATTTTGTCAAATTTTACTTTTTTTAACTAGTGCGTAAAGAGTTTTACTTTACGCACTAGTGAAAAAAGTACAACTTTACACACTTCGTGGAGTGCGTAAAGTACGTACTTTACGCACGGTAGTAGAAAAAGTTTTTCTTATGAACTGTGGATGGTTTTATTTCAGGACGATTTCAATACACAATATTTCCAGTTCACTGTTTTCCAATCAATTTTTTGTTATTTTCAGCCGATAGAAAATTTGTATTAGCAGTGGGACTACAAAACGGTTCCATTTACCTTTTGTCAACGTTCGATGATGTTTCTCCAATTCAAATTAACACTGGTCTGCAAGGCCCTTTGTGCATGGAATGGAGTAATTCCAGAGAATTCCTGGCAGTGGGTGGTATTACGGGCGAATTTAAAACACTCGGTAGCCAGATCGAATACACCAATGTACTGAAGTTTTATAATGAGAGAGGACAACTTTTGTATTCTACTGTTCTGCCAGATCGACAGGTAGTAATGAATTGTAAAAAGTGCTGAGTGCTCTACATGAAATGTTTCTGAAATAGGCCACGATCGATAGATACCGAACATGCCCGTGATAAACTACGCACGGGTCGGAATTAAATCCAAACTGACACTTAAACAGAAGGACATTGATGAATTTTTTTAAAGCCTACTTTAGAAACATTATTTGTGGATCACTCCATATTATGTATGTGTAATGATATGGAAATTTTTGAGGGACAAAGTGATTGCGCCAGATATAGATTTATTGTCAAAATTTGCGCATCAGCAATCATTGAAGAAAAATTTAAGTATAAAAAAAAACAAATGACCGTGATGTTAAATTATTAATATAGATGGAATTTTAAGATGTCAGAGAAAGAAAGGTTTTATAAGAAGTTGTGGGTATTTGTTTTGAGATAGTTGTAATGAATTTGTAATAAAGAAATTAAATGAAAGTAATCAAAAAATTTGATTTCCAAATTAAATTTTGAAAGCCGCGGCAGAGACGAAGCTAATTCTAACAGATCAGATAGGGTAGAGGGAAGTAGAGAAGCAGCATAGAGACAGAGCGGAAGCTAACAGACATAAGAGTAGATGGAAGGACAGATAGCAGCAGGAAGTAGTACCAAGACAAAGGAGCACCCAAAAGAGAATAGAAAAAAAAAGACTTAATTATTTTTATTTAGTAATAATACTGTAATAGCAAGCTTAAACTGGCATGTAGTGGACTGTAGTTCAATTTGTTAAGCTGCTACTTACATTTTTCTTCGATGGCTGCACTGGGAGAGCATCCTGAAAGATCTGGTACTTGGGGAAAAATAATACCACTAGAGATCATTTAACGTATATTGGTTATCAACTGGGTCAGAAGGTATTTTAATTGTTGACAAGTGGCAACACTGGTATTGAATACAAGTGATTTATATTATTGATTTCACAATACAATCAAAATAAAAAGGAGAGGGTTGCAGGCCCTGCACCTGTGGTTAGGCTTCCTGCTTAAACAGCGGATTCGACTTTTTACAATGGTTCTACCGGCGTATTCGCATTAAGGCGGGAAGCCCACCACTCACGAAAGATTAGAGAATCCACGTGTTTTTTACTTTCGCGGGCCGATAATCACAAATTATTGTTAATTCTTACAGAAAGGGTGTCGGGGTCGAGTTTGTCAAGGGGTGGTGTTGATTGTGGAGGCACTACTTTTCGCGTGAACGATAAACGCAAATTTTTTCTGCTTGAGTATTAGAGGCGCGCTTCTTTACAGCTTGAGTGTTAGAAACACACTGGCGTTATTCTCGCGCCGAATCGCGTTAAAGCCTTTCATTTAGCCAATAAGAGAGCTTGATTGTGGAGGGATTATTTAACTATTATTATTTATGTGTGTTCTTTGTTATTTTAACTATTATAATTATTTATTTGGGCTTGTGCATTTTTATTATTTACTTTTAGGCATTGGTTTTTTAGTATTTATGCAATAAAGATTTATGACATTTTTAGCATTCGGCTGTTTTCGTTGTATATATTTCTTGTGGCTGTCAAACGTTCTATTTGACATGGCGGTTTGAATATCTTGAATTCAAACAAATACAATATCACAAACTTTCTAGAAAATTAAAACGGGTCGGTTATTGTTGTTATTTCATATTGAATGGAAATTCTAAAATCTTGAGAAATATTTCCATATCATTACATTTTCCCGCTTTCTTTATTTAATCTTGGAATTTTTTATTCTTTATGACACTTTTCTTTTATGACTCCTATCTCTATTCTGAGATCATAGGTAAAATCCCTCTACTGTAGCAGTAATGTTTACTAAAATATTAACAAGGTTGGTGTTCGCGCATATGCCATATATGCACAATTGACTTTAAACATAGCTTTCGGGAAAAATATACTGCCTGGTATTAATTTTAATATTGATAACCGTTTACAAAGAGTGCATAGTTGTTTTAAAGTACTCGTAAAACGAATTTGATACACTTACACATTTTTTTTTCCGTTACAACTCCTACAACTAACACAGGAAAATAATGAAACACTACACTTCAAAATATTGTTTAGTTTTCTTGAAATACAGGTTTCTCGAAATTGTCCAGATAAACAGTTTTCTATATATGGCTAAACGCCCTTAACCCATGTTTACTTGAACTTGTTTTGTATAGAAATATTTCTAAAAATTTATGACTGCTATCCTGAAACATTGTGTATGTTTACTATGAAGACTAGAGATAAGGAGGCGAATCGGCATACTCAAAATATGGTCCCAAAACATGCCTACTAATTGAGCTTCTATAATTAACCGCATACTGCATACGGAGTTCAAAATACATAGCTTCTTATGGGAATTATACTTAATTTTATCAAAATAATAAAAATAAACTTGTTTATAGCTAAATAAACACATAATATACCGTTGTATTTATTTCTAAATAAGTCTTGCATGTTTTAATTGATAAATTATTTAATTTTATCTATATAATATACAAATTAGGTATGTCTGACCAAATTCAAAAAGGTTTCTTAAATGCTGAAATTTGATAAGTACAATTTTGTGGCAATTTTTTTTTTAATTGAACTAGTATATAGTTTTAAGAGTAAAATAAAACACAGTAAACATACTTTTTATTGTTGTAATACAAATATAAAGGGAAATTTGGGAATATACATGGTATCACCTCATCCTTTAATTTCAGGTTTCCGCTTTTTATTTTGCTAACAGTTCCATCAGTAAAAATAGTCTCATAATATTTGATATCTTCTAAAAAGTACAGTACAGCATCATCCTTACAATTATATTTACAATGACACAATAATTGGCGTCAAAAAAAAATAGCAGTAGCAACTCTTTATCTAACATTAAAACTCTATAAAAGATAAATTTTCTTTTCTAGTAAGTTAAATTTAATGCATAATTATTGTTGTTTGTAAGTCAGCATCTATGACTGTAAAATTTTATACTATAGAAACTAGTAATAAAATAAACTACACTTCGTATGATACATTTTGTGACTAGTTTACAATAAATATTATATTTAGACATGAATACATTATTTTACCTACATTAGAAGCTTTAAAAAGACATTGAATTGATTTTTTTTGTGTTTTCTTTAGTTTTATATTTGATTTTTATCATGTTTTACAATCTAGAACGACGTAAATCTTGCTTTGATGTTTTTTGTCACTCCTGTTACTTGTACTCATGTGTTTTTTACACATTATTTTGATTCTTCGCCAAATTTTTAAAAAAATCACTTCATTTTACGTTAACTCACATAGAATATTGACATTCAACAGGCCAACTACATTTCGCGAACTTTATAGAAAGAAGGACGGAAATTTGAAATTTGAACATTGCCGATTTGCCTCCTTCTCTCTAGTATTCCTAATGTTTACTCAAGTATTCGATCAAAATTAAACTTAAACCGGTCCTGTCCAAGCCAACACCGTTATGCGCATGCGCTCCGATACCTTATTTGCTACTTATGGTTTCACTTTTGATGTATGGAATTGGCTTTCTATACTTCATACAATATAAAGATCAATGCACGTCTACAATGACGTAATAAATTTTAGATCGTCACAGCTCCAAACACTGTTGCCAAATTTTGAAAATAATTGGGGAATCTTTGAAAGTTCCGACAATTGTAGCTACAGAAAAGAAAAGCAGCTGTAAATCGTTGTGATGTTAGAAATACCAATCAGTAGTATGTTCTATGTACAAGCATGAATGTATTAAGAACGTCAGTTGAGTAAGGTTTTTTAGACGTAATATCAAAATTTACTTTATGGGATTATATTAATATAGCATGTAGAAGCATTATTATAGTGTTGCATTTATTTTAACTACCTGAACAATATTTGGGTATCAAAAAATTAAAACATAAATATTTTTCAAAACATAACGACTTTTATTTTACAGTTTGTTAGTTATATAAAATTTTTATACAAATAATAAAGTAAATATTAAACAAATAAAAGGTAAACTAAAGAATACAATTATTAATACAGTACCTACAGTACTGCAATCGATTATATTATTAGTGTGTATTTCACTCAATAACTCCAAAACATTAAATTTTAACTTATACAGTATATTAAGCGACGCATTAGCAAAATAAAGGTGAGGTAGCTTATTATAATATATGGACGTGAGTAGACAAAGAGAGTAATTGGTTTATCCACGTCTTTTCGACGACAAGGATGAGATATTTCGTGGCGCTGTCAGGGACCTATTATTTTATTTCCCTCTATTTAATAGCATTGTTTCTACACCATTCTCCTGAAGTCAGGATTGAAAAGTTAACATATTCTATATTTCGTTACATTGAATACTGTTCTACTACTACTACTACTACTACTACTATTTCTACACTAAATATAATCAAGAGAAGTTTCATAAGAATTAAAATTATACTATGAAAATTTACTTGTAATATTCATTATAGAGATCATGTTACTATTTACATTATTGGATTAAACGATTACAAAATTCAGGAAAGAATAAAATATGTGTATTTAATGTTTTTGTGAAAAATTTTTATGTCTAGAATTCCGCAATATTTACATAACATCTTATTAAGATGTTACTGTATACAATGTAAATTTAACGGTCAACACCTTTGTTGTTAAATTCGAAAATTAGTAATTTAGATCAAAATTCTGTTAAGACTGTTAGGCAAGGTTCTATTTCAAGATCATTGTTTAATCTATAAACATTTTTAAATTGTGAACATTTTTAAATTGTGAACATTTTTTTTGTATTGTAAAGGATAGATTGAAAGCGGCCTAGCTTAACCGAATTTATTCCTTTTGAGACACTAATGTATTTGTAGTTGCTCAACAAACATTTTATTATTATGTAGTAGCTACATTTTCCAAAAATTTTCATTTGCAGGCAAGAGTTTCTACATTAACGTGGGGCCATAACGACAAAAGATTATTCCTGGCTACTGGAACACAAATTCATATCGCATGGATATCTAAGAGAATTGCATCATTACAATTACTTTGCAGACTGAGAATACACGAATTGATAAAAAATGAGAAGCAGTTGACACAGTTGCCCTTACCAGCCCGCTTGGGAAATATAATTGGAAATCTATTTGCTCAGACTATTAGGGTAAGTTTCTCGTGTATACTAATAAAACCACTTGTTAGTACAGTGAGACAATAATTTGTTAATATTATGTCTTATCAACATTCAATAAATAAACTCTGTTGGATGTGGCCGAAGTTATGTAATTTTTATATAAACAGATCATTTTATAGTTTATATACTATTAAAAAATAATTAATTCCAATTTTAGTAAAAATAAATATTTTGAAATTATTATTAAATTCGTTATCATTAAAAATATTTCAGTGAACTAATGTATATTTAATAATTGGAATATTGATTTTTTTAGAGTATATGAGCAGTGGTGGCTTGTAGTATTTTAAAATGGGTGTTCACTTTTTCCAATAATTTTATCATTTGTAAGTTTGGATCAAAACTTTGTACAAGAGTCAATATCGCTGTTTTTTTTATTATTTGAGTTTGTATTAAGTGTAGTTATTATTATCAACATCATACTGTTTTCAAGCACTACAACTATTAATAAATGAATATTTTAGTAAACTGACTTTTCTTCAAAATTTGAGATTATTTTTAAATAAATCAGGTCATGTAGAAAGCTTGACATTAATTTTGTGTAAAAAATTTTATATGAAACTTTACCTACCATTTTTTAGTTTTTATTGTAAGTTTAATTATTTTTACAATTTGTCACAGATGTCAAATAAAAAATATATTTTTTAAATGCCTTTTATTGGCAAATAAAATAAGAACTAAAATATTTTAAATGTTTATATTATTAGTTCAGTCCCATCACAATACATAATATTACACAGACATAAACTAGAATACAGATATATAATGCCTGACATTCTACATGATACTCTTCGCAGTTTAACAGAGCCCCTTAACCCCTATTTTCAACCAGATTGTTTTCACAATCAATAGGCCTCATCTTCTTATAGAGCTTCACTAAAAAATAATGTGTTTTAATAAATAACAGAATAATAGTATTTTGTCTAAATAGGTAAATCGGCTTCATCTGTATTTTCAAATTATTGTTTAATTGTGGATAGTATATTGTTTTGATATGTACTTATAGGATTGATTAGCCAGAGCATGTAGATATGTGGGATGTGATTTGTTAAGTGCCCAATCAAAATCACAATTTGTTTGATACTTATTGCTTTTTTCGAGACATACATTATTACCAACTATAAACTAATTTACTAACAGCCTTATTTCTATTTAATACCTGCAGTGATCTAAATTACCATAACATCTAATATTTTTGAAAATACTAAATTATACGAACAAGGCAGTAAAAAAATGTCATTAAAATAAAAGATTTCTGGTTTGTATGCAACAAACGATCTAGGTTAGAGGGTAACACGATTGATAATTACAGGCAAACATAACTTTATATAGGTAAACTATTTAAATGTACATACCATTTCTTAGGTAAAATTTCTCATCGAGTATATTAACTGGTTGATCCATTTTTCCGATTCAGACTTTTAAAGTGAAAAACCATTTGTCTGTTTATCTTTATCAAATTTTTATTGTACATTTCCATAATGATGTCAAGTAGTTACCTCATCAGAATAATAAAATTTTTCCTTTAACGGGTTTGGTGGGAAAAAATTTTCAAATTTTTTGCTTACTTCATACTTCATAGTATTTACAATTGAGTACAAAATAGACCATTTTGAAGTAGTATTTGGATGGTCTCAGACACTGAAACAAAATATAAAACAAATTACATTCGTAAAACTTCATTACAGGTAAACAAAACAACATAACCATAAAAAGTTTTTATTTACCTTGCCTTAAAGAATTTTTTCGGGAACAATCGTTAAATTGACACATACATCCTTCCAATTTATTAAAGTTGTAGTTCTCAATTAAACACATTTTTTTAAATGATCACAAATAATAAAATCATCTTAATTTTATTAAAGGCAGTGGCTAGGTAGCCGGTACCGGCGACTGTTTTCGTAGCCGGTAGTTGACCAGGATTGGTCGAAATTCAGAGGGCGGAACTACCGTACCAGTTACGAACTTTGCTGCCGGTAATTTGCAGGTTACGTTTAACGCAATGTATGGCGCTTACCCAGAGTTTATTACCATAGATGCAACATATAAGCTTCTTAATATTAGAATACCATTTTTTTTTATTATGATTGAGGATGGAAATTGTACAAGCGAAATAATGGCAATGTGCCTGCTTATTTCTGAGGAAAAAGACTTATTGTGGTTTATTAATACTTTTAAAGGTAAGAATCCTAATTTTTATAGGACAAGAACAATTATGACCGATAAAGATTTGACTGAACGGCGTTTGTTAAAAGAAGCATTTTCAAATGCCAATTTTATTCTTTGCGTTTTCCATACACTAAAAACTTTTCGAAGAGAAATCACTTGTGAGAAACTAGGAATTACTCAGTCTCAGAGATTACAGACCCTAGAAGTGTTGCAGGAATTAGTGTATGCAAAAACAGACACTCAATTTCTTCAAATATATGAGAATCTAAAACATATCGCTCCCAAAGTTGTTTTGGATTATTATCACAAAAACTGGCATGAAATTAAACATTAATGGAATGTTAACAGTTCTTTTCTAAAGAGTAATTTTCTTAATAATACAAATAATCGCCTTGAGTGTCTAAATTCAAAATTAAAGAGTGTAATTTTCAAAAATAGTTCGTTGAAAGAGTTCTTAAAAAGTTTTTTTACAATTGTTCAGTCATTAGAGGATAAAAAAGATTACGATGCTGTTTGCAGTCTTCAAAAAAGGCGCATCCATAGACCGGAAACAAATTCTGAAATTATTAAATATGAAAATTGTTTAACTAAAGAGGCAGGATAGCATGTTCTACGTCAATTTGAAAAGTTAAAAAATCTCAAGAATGAAGAAAAAGTTAGTTGCAACGGTGATGAATATGTATTCCAGTATAATAATCATTCTGTACTCACAACTACCTTAAAATGTGAATGTTCATTTTTTAGTGCCATGTTGCTACTATGTCAACACATTTTTTGTGTGAGGAAAAAGGAAAAACTTTCATATTTTGATGAAAACCTAATTGACAAAAGATGGACACTAACATACTACAGAAATAATCACAGGCTTTTTAAAAATTGGAATAAAAATCAGCCAGAAGAAGTAATAATTGATAAAGATCACAATATTGAAGTGGCAGTTGAAACATTACCACGCAAAAAACAACGTGTCCTTAGTTATGGAGAAAAAAGTAAGAAAGTTTCTGGAATTGTAATTAATTTTAAATTAATACTTTTCATATTTACGTCCTATAGTTTATCAGTTATAAATAAAGTTACCTATAAATACGTCTAACTGATGCCAAATTATAAAATAATAATATAAAAGTGGGTTAAATTAATCACGAGGTTAAAAAACAAATGAAAGAAATAATCCTGGGCGACACCCGGCTACGAAAGAAGTCGCCGGTACCGGCTACCTAGCCACTGCCTTTATTAAAACCTTTTTATAATGACGGAAGACGAAATGACAGTTTGTTTGATTTGGTACAGTGTTGCCAGAATATGTTTTTGTTATGTATCAGATTTGTCTAAAAAATGTACCAGATTCCTTAAATGTATCAGATTTTTCGAATTCTATTTGCAGTGACATCTAATTCATTGAAGGGGAAAAAGGGGGTCTTTATTGATAACGAACCCAAACAAGGAGCACAATATATATATATTTTACACATATACACTGATGCACGCAGAATGTAACAATTGTGAATTGTACTAGACTGGCAACACTGGTTTGGCAACCTTGTTTGTGAGCGGCGCGCCAATTAATGTGTTCTTTGACAGTTTGAAGAATCTGTTGACGTGTTGTTTTCTCTTTTAAGCTATATGCATTCACTATATAGTCTTACTCGTGTTAGGCTCACTCATCATAATGCGCCACAGACACAGTATACTTAGGTATACTGTGCCACAGAGACGCGATCAGCTAGAGGACTATGATGTACCAAAAAATATAGATTAACACATATGAAAATAAAAATATTAAAATTAAATTTATATTTTTATGTTATTTATGTAATTTTAAAATAATGTGTTTTTATGAAATTTAACTGGGTGTTCATTGCACAAATGAACCAATGGAGAAACCGCCCCTGTATGTAAGACTGCATAATTCGACATACTTTTTATCCCACTACCCTTTTCCACATTGCCTCAAGCTATCCTTACGTCTAAATTTTCAATGATTGCAATGGTTTATTATGAAGTATTATGAAAAAGACAGTTTTTGAGTTTACGTATAATAGAAAAGTTGTAAGTTAAATTGGTTATTTTTTGAGATATTTTAATTTTGACGTAAGGGTAACTTGCAGCGAAGAGATTTGGATCAAATTTGAGATAAATGTACTAATTTCGAATTAACAGTTACTCTAACAAAACGGTCGATTTCTGGTTTTACTGTAAATGCCATTAAATTTACATGATTTATGTTTTTTGGAATCGACGCTTCAAATTACATATGACAACGTGATCAAATTTTCATTTTTCTCAATAAATATTAATTTAAAAATAAAAAAAATGAGTAGGTATGGGAAGATGTAATTTGAACCATATATTTCAAAAAAACATAAAAATCAAACCTGATGGCATTTTTGGTAAAACCGTGTGAGTGTTGATGTAT